TTTAATAATCCAATCTGAAGTAATACGGAATACCGAGGACCGCTGGGTCTTCTCGGTCCGAAGTGTATAAATACATCTTGCAATACACCTACGTGGCTTCGCGGCTACACGGTCAAAAACTATTTTCTTTGTTCATCATATTAACAGTTATTGAGAACTGTTGTACAACTATTGACTCGTGTCTTATGTGATCTGTATATAATTACTTAGTAATAATTTGTAATTTTATATTAACATTGATAAAGTGTCATACAGTGGAAGAAAACGCGATGACATTTGGTCGTATTTTACACAAATTAGTGGACAGTTAAAGTGTAAAAAAGCTTATTTTATTAAACTATATAATATAAAAACTAGTTAGGTACATTAAAAATTACAATAATAGTCATAATTCAGTTATTAATTGCTGAATATTATTATTATTTATTGTTATCTTAAACTTTAGAGTCAAAACCAAGTCTGATAAGTGATAAATACTAATATAATTTTTAATATACCTATCAAGTTGTATGATTAAGTTGCTTAATAATATATTTATTATTATTTACTATATCTATACTAATTCCTAAGTTCCTAGATGTATAATACATATCTCATGCTTGTAAAATGAACTCTAAATTATTTAAAAATGAGTTTAAAACGCTTAGTTAGATAAAGAACACATTTTAAATAACGTCGATGATGTTTTAATTAAATTGTTTAATTTAAACAGTTTTAAACATTTTTACTGAAACAATTTGTTTTAAACATAACAACTCTTAATGTATATACAAACACATTTTCCGTGTGACACTATCGACTGTTGTACGGTGACATTCGTATTGGACAATGTCGCGTACGAAAATATTTTTCAAGATACACAACAGAGAACCTATAGAATTCGTTCGTTTTTCAACAGTCGTAAATTATCAACGTTTTTCACGTTTTTTTTTTAAACATGTTTATTGTTTTCCAAGATATTTTTATTAACATCTATATTATTAAAAATTGTAATTCAGTAAAATCATATACAACCTTATACACTAACAAATATATAATTGTACATTAACACTCGTTATCACTCAAATATCTAGTAACAACACATTATTGGTATTGATTTCGATTTATACATTTTCATATATTAGACGAAAATAATATTATACAATTTTGGCGTCCATCATACAATTAAGTAGTATAAACATAATACATTAATTAATATCCGTTATTACAATTTACTTTACTATTTTTATAATTAATTTTTTCGGTTTTTTTTTTTTTTGCTTAAGTAACAATGTTTAAAAAAACATTTAATGCTGCGCTTCAATTAAAGAAAGCACCGTTACTAAATCGTAAAAAATGCGTTTTTATAATAAAATGATTTTGATTTTTACACTCTAGCCGGATTTCATTGATTTCTTTTCGAAATCTTAACCACAATTACGTAATTCATTACTAAAATGTATAATAAACAATAAAAACATACTTAAAAAAAAAATTTGACAACAATATGAAATAAATGTACTAAACACACTACGCATATACATATACATACTTATTATAACTTTATCGTCCGCCCATTGAATCTCGAATACTCCGAGACAAGGTTATATAAATATGCGGGCAGTTTCTATATGTAGGATCAAATGACAATATTTAAATGTATTTTTCTGTTAACAATCATTAACCTTAGCTTATATTAACTTAACATCTTAGATTATAGTTTATGTTATGCAAAAATATTTTTTCGTGTAGTTTATACTCGAACATGTCATCATGTATAAGGAGTTTTCCCATCACGACAATTTGATTTTTATTTCACTTTAATTACAACTAACGGTGGCCAAATCTAGATACATATAATGGAGCGCGAGAATCTATATATATATATTGTGTATGTGTGTGTATGTATGTGTGTGTGTGTGTGTGTGTGTGTGTGTGTGTGTGTGTGTGT